CACAAGGTGCAGCACTTGCGTCGACACGAAGGTCCCGTAGCGAACATGTGACCAGACTCAGAGAGCAACCAGAAGTGAGGGAGCGCAGGTAAGTAACGCATTTGGCCAATGTTGGGCGTGCAGTCGAGACGGCTGCTGGGTATCACTGCCCTCTAGCCCTGTTTTCGTGCTTTTTGAGCTGAGGAAAGTGGCATTTACTGCAGCTACGCACTCTTTATCCCAGGCATGTCAAGAGCCGTCTTCGGAGGTGAAAGCACAGTTTGTCTTTGCCAGAGCAATGTGCAGCTTGACTTCTCCGCGTATGGGGCTAATTTTCAGATAGACGGCTTACGAATGGCCATATCCGAATGCCAACAAGCGTTTAGTAATCAAGTATGGAACTGCACTCTAACAACACCTGGTGTAGGAACGACACCGTTAAAAAGTAAGGTTTATTTTACTTCACGAATTCAAGGAATCTCTGGCCCTTTTCACAGAGCCAACCAGCAAGCATCCACTTTGTCATGAATAAGTTACATCAAGTTCCGCATCTATTTCGATAGTTAGTTCATTATACCTTTCGCTATGTTGGCCTTTCATTCCAATATTTTCAGTAGCATCGAAAGAATCGGCATTCGTCTACGCAATAGCGTCCGCAGGTGTGAGTCATTCGCTGGCGAAAGCGTGCGCGAAGGTGAGTAATTTTCAAAAGCGAATCCTTCAACTTCGTGCCTACAGAAAGGGGTTTCTTGTAAAAATGGCCTGAACTTTCGTCGTTAATCAATCCCCTTTTCGAAGAGCCACGCATCCCACTTTTGTTCAGACTTGTAATGATTTTTAAATCCAACTTGACTAACTGGTTGACTTGGAAGATGTTCGCAGACAAACAAGTCAGTGTTTCTATCATCCCAGAGAAGTCTGAAGCCAAATAATTGACTTCGGAATGTTGGAAGGCTGGGTTTGCTCGGTCTGGAGACGGCTTGAGATTTAATACCAGATCCTGCGCGTGATAAGCGGCGCCAGTCACCTGTACACCACCTTCGCCCTTCTTGTTGGTTTGCAGAAATACGAATCGTCAATGTTTCTGTCCGAAACAGTAGTATAAAATTACAAAAGGTTAAAAATGTGTCAGCAAACCTTTTTTGGAAGTTTCAGAGTATTTGGCTGGGCGATGTTGAAAGGCTTATTCTGACCAGGAAAGGTCAACAGGTCAGCCTGGCCATTTGCAATGAGATGCACATCACTGTACTCATCTTTACACGCTGAACTCAGAACTGTCTTCAAATTTGCAGAACGATTCTCTGAGCGGAGTTATTGAGGTTTTTCTTTACTGTTTTTCTTCTTACGGGCGCGCTGGCGCCGAAGCGTT